TGGCTATGAAAGGATACACAGAATACTTGTCTGTTGCATCTAGTGGCTTAATTTAAAAAACAACAACAACTTTAAATAGACCGAAAGGAATGTCCTGGATAATGTTTACATCCTCAAAAGGCAAAAACTGTGATTTTGAGCAAAAAACAAAAGAGAATATTTTAATAGAATATCTTTAATGTATTCAAATCAATTCATGTCTTAGAGACATTTATAATAGCTATCCAGTACTTTTAAGATGAAGGAAATAAATCAATGGTGCCTAGTAGACTGGAGCTGTAGGCTTTGAAATATATTTTCCAGGGAATGGTTAAAATCAAAGACGACTTGTGGACCAATTTCATACTTGCCACTTGAAGCACTTTTTGGCCCTTTTCCTGCTGTTGTTGATGTGTATGTGTGTGTAAGGCATGCTGAAGGCGTTCATATCAGGTTTTTGAATCAGTTCATGGCCTAATATGAAGGTTGATCAACAGTACCGACCTAAGTTGAATTGTGCCCTTCTAAGTCCATGAAAGCCAACGTACTAATAAGAGTGTCAATCTGCGTAGGATGATACTGTCAGAATTGCATTTCAGCTTCTCTGCACTCTCCAGCGCATGTGTGATTTCAGTCTTAGTGCTCATCATGTAAGTGCAAGTGGGTAGATTGCAGGAATCACATAGGTTGTTTTTCAGCCTTGCCTTGGAGACAGCACACCAAAATCAACAAACAGGCTCACCCGTTACATCTTTTGGCATACATCTTCCATTGGTGAGTCCCCTTCAGTAAAAATGAGGATAGTCATCAGCTTAGAACCATAAATGAAGGTGAATGTCATGTAGCTGGAAATACCCATTAGGTAAGACAGAATGTAACGGAACAGAGTTGAAAGTTCCCCATGTCAGTGTAAAATTAACAGCATGATACTTGAGGTGAGAAACATGGATGCTTTGACAGAACTCCATGTTTTATGTGTAGTCTGAGATGAGTTCCTGCATAGTCCCTGCACTTGATAGGTCGTCTGGAGCTTCTGCTCCAAGCCAGAAGGTCTATCTTAGGAAGAAAAAGTGCAAGAAAAAAAGAAAGGATACTTCCCAGGACATGGTCTTCCCTCCAAGTTCCGCGAAGATCAGGAATCCAAAGGAGACGGAGGTTGAAGAAGCCAGAGGTAGAAGACAGAGCCGGCCACCCATACTTCGAAGCACCAGAAGGGAGAACATGACCGCATCCCTGGACATCGAGGAGCAGCTGCCTATAGCCCCCGAGGCTTCGGGGGTTGGGCAGCAGAGCATTCAGCAGCTGGGAATCGCGCCGCTGAAACGGGACGACAGCGCCTCCATCGCGGGACCGGCTGATCGCGAGGAGCCGGCCCCCGCGGGAACCCCTTCACGTGGCTCAAGATTGCGGTGCGCAAACGACGGCGGTGGCCGCAAGCGTGCACAACCCAAGGGGTCCAGCTTACCACCACGGACCAAGAAGGTGGCTGGCGGAGTGGCCATCGGAGACAACAAAAAGGGAAAATGCCGCGGGAAAGCCATGCGGCTGGCGAGCCCAGCAGGGGAGGAGCGGGACGGGATCGTTCCGGTTCCCATGTCACCCCATGCACCGGTACCGGGGCTGATCCCAGGCCAGCCGGGGGCCCCGGACAGAACGTCCACGGCCAAGTCTCAACCCAGATGCCGGCAGAGGCCCCAGCACAGCACAGCGGCTCGGGGCCTGCACAATCCGCACAACCCAGCAGATCAGGGCTGGCGCAGCCCATTCCCTTCGTGCCCTGGGGAAATCCAGGACCACCAGGACCATGGGCGGCGACAGGGGGCACGCAGCCAGCATTATTTCAACCCCCCCAGGCCCAAACTTAACCAACAGCCCCGACGCTTGCCTCGGCCACCACAGGGATTCGGCAGCACAGAACAGGGCTGCTTCGTCCCCCAGTCTTTCCATCGGGACATCCCTGGCTGTGGCTTTTTGTAGGGGGACCCTGGCAGACCACCCCATGGCCCATTGGGGGATACCCGGGGGGGTCCACAGGCCTTCCAAGCACCTGGAGGCGAGGAAACCCGGGATAGAACTCACACCAGGGCTCCTCGGAGGAAACGGAGACACCACTCTTCGAATTCCCAATCCTCTTCTAGCTCCAGGTCCCCTTCTGCAAATAAGAGACACAGGAACCATAGGGCACCGTCCCAATACGAGGCATCAGGGGCCTCAGAGGCAGAAGGGGAACAGCAGCAGGCCGTCACACCCAGGGGATTAGACCGGCCAGTAGATGGTGAAGGCCTTGGGAGGCAATGACTGCACAGCATTAGTGCTGAGCAGGCAGAGACAGCTTCCACTATTACTTCTGTACCCCACACTGAAAAGGAGGAGGGGGAATGGTCAGGGGACGAGGCGGAAATACAACCCACATCATCCCGCCTATTTCAAGTAGACCATTTCCAGAGGCTGCTGACAAAAGTCATCTCCACACTTAACTACCAAATGGAGGTAACAGAAAAACCTAGATCATCCACGTCGGCTAAACTAGATCCGAGAGGCTTCAAAAAACTGGTAAAGGTGCAGACCTTCTCACCCTTCCCTGATTATTTTGAAGATGTGATAAGGGAAGAGTGGGCCATCCTGGGGGGGGGGAGCATCTCTACTGTCCATAGCAAGACGTCTATATATGTCACTCAAAACAGCAATCAGTGTGACTGCAAGATAGGGGGCCGGCTCCAGGCATTTGCACAGACCTGGAGACAGACCACCACATACCAGTGGGTACGGACGATCGTATCTCAGGGCTACAGAATAGGACTCACTGGCAATCCCTCTCACTGTTTCAAACCGTCGCTGGCACCGAGGAACAAGGAGCGCTCATGACAGCTGCAGGAAGCGATCCAACACCTCCGGAACATCAGTGCCGTAGAAACAGTTCCCGAAGCAGAACGCTTCAAAGGGATATATTCTGTACTATTTGTAGTGCCAAAGAAATCAGGAGACTGGAGGGCCATCTTAAATCTACGCGGCCTCAACAGATGGGTGGCAAGGAAAAAATTCCAGATGGAATCCCTACGCCACATCCTACAGAACCTACAGCAAGGGGACTTCATGACTTCTATGGACCAAGGTCATGGTGGCTCTGGTGGCGGCCTTGCGCATGGAGGGAACACACATTCATCCTTATCTGGACGATGCCCTTCTACGTGCGGGAGACTATCAGACAGCAGCCTGCAACACGCAAAGAGCAAGGGACTTCCTGTCTGCGCACGGCTTCATCATAAACGAGGAGAAGAGCCACTTGACACCCACACAGGACATCGTGCACCTTCGTGCGAGACTGAACACAAGGTGGGCCACAGTGTCACTACCAATAGAGAAGCAGATCAAGATTCGGGCCTTAGTGACAAATGTCAGGACCAAAAGACATGTCGACTTCATGCAGCTGGCTACACTGCAGGGCCTCATGATTTCCACGATCAACCTGATTCCGTGGGCACGGCTCCACGCCAGACATCTACAGTGGACGCTTCTACCATTCCAGCAGTGCATCGCCAAGAAGAGGCACGTTCTGATAAAAATCTCGGATGACCTTTGGAGGGACCTGCACTGGTGGATGCGACAGTCTAACCTGAGCAAGACCATCAGCTTCTTAAGGCCACAGCAAGTCGTGATAACCACGGATGCGAGCAAGAGGGGCTGGAGCGCGTATTGCGGTCACCTGATCACGCAAGACAGATGGTCCCTGCAACAATCCTCTCACAGCATCAACTGGTTGGAACTCCGGGCTGTCACCCTAGCAACGAGGGCCTTTCACCAACATGTGCAAAACCATCACATCTTGGTATGCACAGACAACATGTCCACGAAGGCGCACATCAACCAACAAGCTACTGGCCGGTCGAAGTCCCTATTCAAGGAGACAAGGACCCTACTACACTGGGCAGAAAAATACGCTTTAAGTCTCTGGGCAGAACACCTAAGGGGCCTGTCCAACCAGCAGGCGGACTGGCTAAGCAGGGAGGACCTGGACCTGGACGAATGGACACTGAACAAAGAGGTCTTCATCCAGATCGCACAACGATTTGGAATGCCTGTGATGGATCTCCTCGCGAACTCTTGAAACCACCAAGTAGGACGGTTCCTATCACGATATCACGACTTGAAAGCAGAAGGGATCGACGCGCTATTTCATCCATGGCCACAGGGCCTCCTATACACGTTCCCGCCTGCGCCCCTAATAGGGGCAATGCTCAGCAGAATCAGAAGGGGGGGCCCACAGTGGTATTTGTGGCACCCCATTGGTTGAGAAGACCGTGGTTCTCGGAGTTGGTGCAACTGTCAACAGGGAGACCCTGGACACTGCCCCAGAGACCAGACCTACTACACCAAGGGCCCATCCTGCACCCGGACCCGACATGGCTACAACTGACTGCATGGAGATTGAACGTACCCGACTGACCAGTATGGGGTTCCCTCGGGAGGTGATTGAGGTCATGCTACAGGCGAGACGGCCCTCTACACGTCGCATATATAGCCATACATGGAGGACGTTCATAAGAGGGGCCTCGACCATGGGCCTCCAACCTATGCGGGCCACGGATAAGGAGCTCATCATAGGCGTAATCTTCGTGGGGGCGGCGGGGCATCAGCCCCCGCCGAAATTTTCAGGAAGGTGTTCAGCCTCCCCCGGGAGCCACCCTTGCTACTAGCAAAGCAATGCCTCTGGCCCAGCCCCAGCCCCCCCCCCGGGAAATTGGAAAGTCTACACCCTTGGTCATCCTATTTCTCTACAAGGGCCAGAAACAGGGACTTCAACCAAACACCCTGAAGCGCCAAGTGGCAGCCATACAAGCGTGCTTGGGTAGCAAGACTCGAAGGAAGATATCATCCAGCAGTTACATGAAAAAATTCCTGAAGGGGGCTAGTCAGCTGGCTCCCCCGGTAAGGCACAGATTCCCTACGTGGAGCCTACACAAGGTTTTGAACGCCTTGACTAGACCACCATTCGAGCCCTTGAAATCAGCAGAACTTCGGCTCCTATTGTGGAAAGTCGCCTTCCTCATTGCAGTGACTATGGCTAGGAGGATCTTCGAGCTGGCTGCTCTGTCGGCAAGGAAGGAACTTTGCATTTTTCAGCGAGATTCAGTAACACTGCGGAGGGATCCAACATTCATCCCAAAAGTAAATTCTGCATTCCATCTCAATCAGCCGATTGCATTGCCTTCTTTCCGTCCGAGGCCAACACACCCCAAGGAAAAGATGTGGCACAAGCTAGACGTGCGTCAGGCTCTGCATATATATCTGGATAGGACAGCCGACTTCCGTCGGTCAGACGCCCTGTTTGTGACTTACGGGAACCCAAATCAAGGGGAAAAGGCATCAAAAATTACAGTGGCCTACTGGATCTGGCAGTGCATTACCAAGGCATATGAAGCACAAGGCCTGACGCCACCAGATGAGCTGACAGCACATTCCACGAGAGCGGCTGCAACAACAGCGGCATTTTCAACACGAGCCACGGTAGACAAGATATGCAGAGCAGCTACCTGGGTGTCTTTTTCCACGTTTGTGCGACATTACAGGATGGACCAAGCCGCTTCAACTGAGGCGGCGTTTGGCAGAAGAGTTCTACAGCAAGTGGTGAAAACTTAAAAAAAAAAAAAACCGAAACAAAGCACCAATAACAGCCTTCATGCAAGGGGTGCACAAAGAGTGTGAATGATCACCCACCCCAGAATAACAGCTTGGGTACAGCTAACCAGTTCCTGGATGACTTCCCCCCACTGAAGGAGAACGGTACATTGGACCTACCTGAAGGTTCTTTCTCAGTGGGGGAGAAGTCATCCACATCCCACCCAAAAAACAGTCTACAAGAAGGTCAGGGTGACGGAAAAATGGAGAATGACACCAAAAAATAATATAAAGTACGTGGATGGCGGTGAACACGTAGCTAGAGCGATCCACGGAAGGGCTTGGACATGACTGGTCAGCCAGGGCCACTCCAATAGGAGCCATGCAACAAAAGAAATTTGCATAGCCTATCGAGCGAGCAGAGGCGTGACCTGACCAGTTCCTGGATGACTACTCCCCCACTGAAGAGAAAGAACCTTCAGGTAGGTCCAATGTGGCACTTGAGGTGAGAAACATGGATGCTTTGACAGAACTCCATGTTTTATGTGTAGTCTGAGATGAGTAATGAACAGTGGCGGGCCTACATTTTTGGGACCCTGAAGCTTGGACTGTTATGGGGGCCCCTTCTCAACCAGCAACAATTACAGGGACATTCTGAGGCCATATGAAATGGTTATTAGAGTATATTCTAAGGTCAATATTAAGTACTTCAACCCCCTGGCTTATGATTCTGTCACTAAAATGGAGTTATTTTAATAACAAACACTTTAAAAAAAACCCATCAATGTTGTTGAAAACTTAACTCATTAAAAATAAAGTTGCTTCAGGGCCCTTCCAGGATTAGAGGCCCTGAAGCTTAAGATTCATTAGTTTCATAGAAGATCTGCCCCTGGAAATGAATCTGAGTGATTCCCCCCCCCCCCCAACAGCATCCTAATGTCTTGTTGATTAACCATACTTGCACACTTTCATCATGCCAATAGGATTTGCCAATATCAAGGCCAAGAGCTCAAACTCTTGGAAATAACTCAGGGAGACTTTGTGTTAAACACTTGGCTAGATTTGCAAGAGAAAGAGAATCTGGCTTTGCAATTTCCTGATTTTAAAAATACAACCTTTTCTGTTTCTTAAATTAGATTTTGTAGATTTTCTCTTCCTCTGCCTCTTCCCCCAAATGTTTACTCTGTTCTTTTTTTTCTTTCTTTTTTTGGTCACAGATTAAAACAAACAGGTACACATCCATCCCTGTAATGTGTATCTGAGCCCATCCCCACTTGTAAGCTCCTTCCCTTATTCACCCATTCTATCTCTTTTCACTTGTTTAGCTTTATAATAGCTCAGGCATCAATGGACCAGGGTAG